GTCAACTCTCACAAGGGTCAGATGAGGGTCAACTCTCATGAGGGTTAGGTGAGGGTCAACCCTCATAAGGTCCAGGTGAGGGTCAACTCTCATAAGGTCCAGGTGAGGGTCAAACACAAAGGGAATCGATGTTTGGCCCTCATGAGGGCCGCGCAAGGGCCCTTTTATTGATTTCAATAAAATTTTTTAAAAAATTACCCTGAAAATTTTCCTCCACCCAATGAACTTTCACCCCCACCCGATCACCCTCATAATTCTAATTTCGCCCATATGAAGGAGCGAAATAAATGGACACATAAATTCGTTCGAACGTGTTATGTACTCCTCTTTATTCTCCCTCTCCCCCTCTCTCTCTCTCTCGCTCTCCCTTTTTTTCTCTCGACACTGGGTATCGATCCATCCCCCATGGCCCGACGCTGGCCACCCGTAGACTCTCGCCTCGTTCTCCCGAGTCCCCTTTAACGTCTTTCCCACTCTATATATATTTTTCCATCCCCTCTCTCGATAGTCGCCCTTTTCACAGCGTGACGAGATCCAACAACGGTGATAGAAAGGGGTTCTGTTGCTCGATGAGGGCGGGGGGGGGGGGCTCAATCCCCCTGATGTGAGACCGGCAATTGCCAACGCTCATGCACCCTCGTTACTATTTCTCTTATTCCAATTTTGATGGATTTGAGCAACTGTTGAAGCGATGCGAAAAAATTCAAATCGTTTACCCCTCGTGAAATCGATCCTCCTGGATTTTGATGGGACATGGCTCATTCGATAGCTGAGAAAATTTCCGTTCCCGAAGGGGGGTCATAGACCCCCGTACCCCCACCCCCTTTCAAGATATTCCAAAAACTTTATTTCTTCCTCAACATCATTTTCCGCCTGTAACTTGTGAAATTACGGGGCAAAATGGGTTCGTTTTTTTTTTCAATCATATCCGAAATTTTCCGACTCAATTAGTGGGGTAATTTTCAACCCCCCAAGCTCGATCAGTTCTCGTGAGAGGGGAGAAATTGGAAAGGAAGAGGTTATGCTGAAGGTGGAATCATCTGCCCCTTGCGAAACAGATCGCCCAGGATGATGATCTTGATGGGACACGGCTCATTCGATAGCTGGGAAAATTTCCGTTTCCGAAAGGGGGTCATAGACCCCCGTACCCCCACCCCCTCTCAAGATATTTCAAAAACTTCATTTTTTCCTTAAAATCACTTTCCGCCTGTAACTTGAGTAATTACGGGGCAAAATGGGTTCTTTTTTTTTTAATCATATCCGAAATTTTTCGACTCAATTAGTGGGGTAATTTTCAACCCCCCAAGCTCGATCAGTTCTCGTGAGAGAGAAGAAATTAGAAAGGAAGAGGTTATGTTAAATGTCAACAATTTGATAATTTATCGGCGTCGATATATCAGTTTCGATAAGGGATATTTTTTCAACATGTTTTAATGCCGATGCAATCCGGCATTGCAGTGCACGCACCTGCGTTTACGAGTGCGCTTCAAGGGCAACCTCCGGAACGACCTGTTGCGTGCAAATTTTTTTTTTCCATTTTCCTCTTTACGTTTTTATTTTCGTGCGGTGCATATGTGCATCCAGGGTACGAGCGAATTACATCGAAATTCGGATGAGTGTTTTATTTGTCGGTGTGAGGGAGAAGTCGATAGATTATTTTTGGCTGAGGTCAATGAATTTTTTATGGCCGGCGAGTGATGAATTCATTTATTTTTCGTTTTATTTTTATTGCATTGGAGTCAGTGGGGGATTGGGATTATTGAGAGCCCAAGAGGAATTAGAAGATGAATTGTAAGACCCTTATGAGGGTCAGATGGGGGTGAAATATTTTAATATTGGCGTTTGACCCTCATGAGGGTCACACAAGGGTCAAATATTTTAATATTGACGTTTGACCCTCATGAGAGGCACGCAAGGTCAAACATTTTAATATTGATGATTGACCCTCATGAGGGGCATGCAAGGGTCAAACATTTTAGTATTGACATTTGACCCTTATGACGGTCAAACAAGGGTCAAACATTTTAGTATTAACGTGCGACACTCGTGAGGGTTACGCAAGGGTCAAACATGAGTGTGTATACACGCCCCTGTGACCCTTAAGTCCCACGAGGGGGGGCTCATGAGGGTCAAATGTCAATATTAAAATGTTTGCCCCTCCTCATGTCAAATGAAATAACCACCAATATTAAAATTCTGACCCTTATTGTAGTCATAGTATCTGACCCTTACGCCAGCTACCCACACCCTTCCAATGCTCGACCCTCATCTGACCCTCACGCGCCCCTCATAAGGGTCAAATTCAATAATCACCATCTCATATTGACCTGAAACTTCAACCTCCACAATTTCGCCGACTGATGATTGAAAATTGATTCAATTGTAGTGGATTTCACCGAAAATTTTCCGTTCTTTCGAATGCAACTGGACTCGACCAAATCGGTTCGATACTCTTCGAGATATCGATTATTTTTCACATCGCCATTTTCCACCCCAAATCCCCTTAACCCGAAAAATCATATTTCCACAATTTCAACATTAGAAAATGAATAAACCGATGGTCGGTGGAGTTGCAGGGCGTGCAAGATCGGTTATCCAGATCCCGAGTGTGCTCTCTGAGCTGGGGCTATCCGGTTTGGCAAGTGCCTTCTCGTATACACTTGGGGGAAGGGGGCAGGGGTAGAGCGAGAGAGAATCGGTGAGAGTAGCGGCAAGAGAAGGCCCCTAACTCGTGTAGGTGAATCATCCCAGCGTTATATACAGGCGAAAGGCCTCTCTGTCCGGTTCGTTGAACACCGGGGCGTCCCAGGGTGTACATCTACGGCTCAGTTATCGCGGTTAGATTCTTGTTAACTCGAAATGTACATTTTTTTTTCACAATTCCACAAAAGTCCCTGATCTCATACGCCCTTATCTCCCTAGGCCGCCGCGAACGGGGGTCGATAATCACCTCATCGAAGAGATCGGAAAATTTCCCATCAGATTGAAAAAAAAATCACCCATTTTGCCCCATCCATTCAAGAGTTACGGCGGAAAAACGCTTTTGCTAACCACAATTTGTTTGTTGGATTATTCAACAATCAGTGGGACAGAATGGATTTATTTTTATAGAGCGGAATAGAGAATTTCCCGATCTTTCAAATGAGCCCTGACCCGCTCCAATTGGAGCTGTAGCTGCCGAGATAATCGGATTTTTGTATCGGGCGGTTGGAAGTGATGGAATTTTTTCATTTTGCCATTTCCGCGGGGGAAAAAATTATTTTAAGTATTTGTTCTTGGCATTTTGCCTCATGTCCCACCTCCCCCGCCTCCACTAGACTCAAACTGGATCGCGGAGGCGCTAACGTCTCTCTTCGTTAGCGTTGAAACGACGAGAAAAGATCGACCTCCACTCGAGTGGTTAAACGATGTTAAGAAAATGGGAGAAAAAAAAAGAATATGTGAGAGAGAGACAAAAGATGCACTGAGATGTAATTATTGAGTGAGGGCAGGTGTTGAGGTGTTCGCCAGGTGATTTTAGGGGAAGCAGATGGCGCGAGGAAAATGCACCCGCGAACTGGTATCACGTGCGCACTTCAAGGCGATTCGAATGACGATGGTTTGAGGCGATTGATACGAATGAATATGATAGGGTTGGGAGGCGATCGCGGTGGCCGTGAGGAGGATTTTACGTTACTAGCTCGTGAAATGGTTTCGCGGCATGACAGACCTGTTGTAAAAAGTTATGAGTCCGTAAAGTTGTATTTTACAGCCGGTTTGAGGTGTCAACTTGGACTTCACGGCCCAGGCCGAAAAATAAGAATGGACGTCTGCTGTCAAACGATAATTTTTGCGGAGGTACAAGTAGTATTTTACGGCCGTTAGGATGCTTCATCCCCTAGTCCGTAAAAGTAAAATTTCCCCGCCGCTAGGAGTACTTTACGTCCCAGTTCGTAAAATATATGTTCAGGCTCCAAACAGAGTCCGCAAAATAGTACTTCACGCAAAGCCGTGAAAAAAAAATTATCATATTGCATTACAAGTCCGTGAAGTCCACTTTTTTGTACGCCCTCAGCGGCCGTAAAGTCGTTATTTTGCATCGTGGAGTGTATCAAGTTCAAGGTCGTCAGTGAAAAAGTAAATTCGAGGGCGTAAAAGTGAAGTGAACTTTACGTACCCTATGCGGTAAAACAAGGACTTTAGGTTTTCTGAACGTCCGAAGAAAGTGAACTTTTCATGCTGGTAGTACAAAAAATCTTTTTTCTCTTTTTGGAGATTTCGTGGAAGCCCCTAAGGAAAAGGTTAATTGGGGTGGAGGATATTTTTGGACAACTGTCAACGTCGGCTTAATAATAATTTGATAATGTTAACACACACTCGGAGGGGGGGGGGGGGAGCGGGGGGGGGG